TAGCTTCAAAAACTCATTAATAATTCATGAGGAAAACACAAAGAAAAATCATAAACGTGTCGGAACTTCTTTATATGTGATAGAAATTTCCCTTGATTTACATAAACTTTAACTTTGACATACACAACGAGTTTTTTGAAAGCTACTTCGCCAATGAACTTACTAGATCGATCGTTTTTGAAGAAATTTAAAACAATCGCAGTGCGTGTTTTATCAGACCATCTTTATATCTAATAAAACACTGCTGCTCATGTTTTAAATAGTACATAAAATATCTCTGAAAATCTCCCTAGTTGCCGAGCAAAAAGCATGCATGATGCTAAATATAAATCTCGACTTTGATTGGATAATGGGTGAAGGTGCTGACTACAAAACGTCAATCATCCTCAATGGGCGAAAATTTGTCATAGCCGTTTGGGCAGGCGTTTCCTTCTCCCTCCCGCACTAAACGCCTGCTATGCAGGCGAGCCCAGATGTGGTGCAAATTTCCGTACGTAATACAAATTAATATAACATTTTCAAATTTCGCAGGGCTATATCTTGTAAAATGTTACAACGTTTCTCAACATAATTTTAACGTGCTCTTTCTAGCTGTGGTGATGGATTGCCTATAGCAAAATTAAGTCTATAGTATAACTGGAATTGCCCATTGATATATTTAAAATTATTTTAAAATAACAAGGTGAGTGGTCTCCAATCTTCTTTTCGGAAAACCTTGGGATTTTTGTAGAAAAAAACGGGAATCTTGGAATTTTTTAGGGTCTTGGTACTGAGTTTCAAGGCCGGATTTGATGGAAATAGCGGGCGAGGTGGAAACAAATTTAGGGGAGGTGCAGCGGTATAGCTCACGACCTCTATGAAAGTTAGGGCTTCGAACGGGCCATGTAGTGTACATATGTATCAGTGTAGTAATGAATCATGACTGTACAACTGATCGAATTTTGCCCTTCATTACAAGACTTACAATTACTACAAAATTTCTTTCAAAACATTGCATTAAGAGGCAGTGCCTCTTTTAAGAAATTTTCACGGGGGGGGGGCAAAACAGGAAAAAAAGGTAAAACGAAAAATATGCGCCGTCGAGGTTTGGCGAACGCGCGAGTCTGAAGAGAGATTTTGTAAAACTTTAATTTATTAACTTCAGCTATATTTTACTTTAAACAATAACTTCAACTCTTTGTAGCTATAATCGTTTAGCTATAACCAGTGGCGTAGCGAGACCTTAAATTTTTTTTGGAGAGGGGGGGGCAACCTCATGCACGCCGAAGTGTGAGACCGTCTAGGAGGACCCGGGGGCATGCACCCCGGGAAATCTAGGGTCCCTGCAGAGGCGCCGGAATATCGATAATTGGGGGGGGGGCACATATTCATATATTCGTGTTCTGCCCAATTAATTTCTTTTGAAATCGATTGTTTTTACAGTCTGTGAACACGAATATATGAATATCTGCCCCCGCTATTATCGATTCTCCGGCGCCTCTGGGTCCCTGAATTGCGATTTGAAGCATTTTGGGAGTGAAATCTAGCAGAATTCCGAAGATTATAAAGTACATCGAAGACATGAATTTTTCCAGACATTAGTATACTCGGAATTAAATACATAAATTTGAAAAGTCACCTTGAAAAATAGGAGGGGGGGGGGGGAGAGAAAATCCTAATGTGATTTTGATCAGAAATGTTGCATTTAAATTATTTTAGGTTCTATGAGACACCATTTCCGCATTCTCAAAATTGCGTTGCTTTTTCATACGATACAGAACAAATCTGAGAAGAAATATTTATGCAATGATGATGCATACAATGTATTTAACAGTTAAAAATCTAAACTAAATCTATTCTTCTGGGAACCAGCATCTTATCGGATTGTTTGCATGAAATCTATCGCTATTATGAAATACTCGGTGAAGAACAATATGAATTACACACAAGATGGCTGTGGAGGAGGCTATGGAAGGGCATAATCTCATTGTCAAGCAAATCAACTGCAATTCTGACAGCAATCATGAGCAATTCTGCTTCGCACTTCGGGGGCAGAAATGGCTTTACTGGAGCGGGGGGGGGCAAATTCTTTCCCTGGGGGGGACAATTGCCCCCCAGATATATAGTTAAAAGGAACTGTTAAGAGGGACCGTACTTGACACAGAGATGGATGGCTATCACTGATTAAATTTTACACAGAAAACGTTCTTACGAAGTGTAGACCCTAACCAACCAAAAATGTCAAATTTTCACTTGAAATCATCTATCATTGAAACTTTCCCAAGGGAAGGTGCATTACTTTACAGAGGAGGTGCAAGAATTATCATGAGAGGTGCAAAACGATCTCAGGAAAGATGCGCACCTCCCCACACCTCCATTCAAAATCTGGCCATGGCGAGTTTTGCCGTAAGCCAAAAGGAAATGGCTTGTGGTAGATTTGCATCTCTAAAGAAAGACGAATTCTTCACAAGAATAAAAAAACTGTAACAGCATAAAAATGTTCACAAAACAATTCACAACAAATTTTCGAAAATATTAAAATAAAAATAATCGTGTTGCTATGACAACACTTGAAGCATAATGCATTGAGTGTTTCATCAATTGCTAATACTTCATGTTAAATCAACGTTTGGAAAATATAGGCGAGGCTTAATGATTATGATAATAGTTTAATTATTATCCTATATGACTCTTTGTTTGGACACATGAAAAGTTACAACATATTCATCTTGGCGATGCTGAATTCATATTATGATATTTCATGGTGCAAGGATTAACAGTGTAGAGCCACCACAAAATTTTCCTAGGATCTGAGTCAATATGGCTGAAAATGGCACAATATGTTATATTTAAAGGAGTAATGGTAAGCGAGGTGAGGTAACAACAGGATTGGGTGGTGAGAGAAGCTGCAGATGGGACACTGAAAAACAATAACCCCAACATTAGGGGTACTGCATGAAATGAGATGTACACTGTAGACTGCTTATGAGTGCTTAATTCCATTCCACTGGGCACCATGGTAGTACCATGTTTGGAGGAAACAATTATTTAATTAGGATGTTGTGTAACAAAAGTGTTCAATCTCCCAAGTTAATACAGTAGGGTAAGACTGAATCAAACAAAGAATCAGAGTTGACAATTAAGAGTTTATGAAAGTTACAACCTCACTTACATTTGACCGCCAACTCTCATTGGCTCTCATGCATTCATCAATATTCACCCGCTTAATTGCGCTTACCAATATTGGCCCGCTTTTGCTCCTTTAAGCAGTAATATTCAGATCATCAACTCTCATATACATATAGGTGTACAGGGCTATATATAATGCTTTCTAGCGGTGCATTTTAAAGTTTGCCCAAATTTTTATGAAGGATTGTAATGAAATTACCTGCATTTAATTAACCTATTCTTGATTTTTCTTAGCATTTCCATGCTGGAATTTCCATGGTTTTCCAAAATTTGAAGGGAATTGCCCCCCTGTCTTGCATGCCTATGCTCATATACAACTCTTGTTCTCATTTGGCAGGGGCATGAGATTGCCAATTAACTCTCTTCCTCGTTTGACCAAGACTTTTCATCAGTTCTAATTGCCAGGGGTAGGTCAGGGTTAACGTATTTGGATGCCAATTGATGGGAAATTGCTCTTACTGTCTATTACTAGACAATTTTGCTCGTCAATAATTTGCATTTTAATATTAGGGTAATATTAGGGATGTGCCGGATACTGTTTTACGGATACCGGATAGTACCGGATAGTACCGGATAGTAGTCTACCGGATACCGGTCAGGAAAAAATGATGACCGGATACCGGATAATAACCAGATACTCCCATACAATAATTTATTAGAAACACAACATTTTTATAGCTTAATTAACTAGTCCAATGTGGCAACATTTCTTGTCTCATTGACATATGGTCTTTACCAAGGCCATATCTTATAGCAAACGAGCAGTTCACGTCACCATCACGAAAAAAATATGTTGTAATTTTGTCATAATGCAGCGCAAGCTCAGTAATTGTTCATGTTTCACAATTTGTAATCGCCAAGTAAACTTTTCCGTTTTATGGTTGTAAAAATTATCTTACAGTACTATCCGGTAAATATCCGGCAAATTTATACCGGATAGTGCCGCATGTCTAAATTGTACCGGATATCAGATACCGGTATCCGGATCAGGCACATCCCTAGGTAATATATACTAGTTTTGAAATATATAATATATATATAGTTTTGAATTATTACTCTGATGAATGCAAATTAGAACAACATAGGCCGTTATCTGTGTGGGCAAAATGTGGTTAGAAATCAAATTCCGTCGCCCCCATCGCGGTGCTAAAAATTTTTAAAAGGAATTAGGAGATTAAACTATGCTGATTTCAAATATCTTTGTTCCCACGCGCCAAAACCCGCTGTTTTTTCACAATGTAAGGCCAAAGTTTGATATTTTCATCCGCTAACCGCCATCTTGAATTCCGCGGTATGTTTGATCTTTCAACATTATTACTTGAAGTATTAAAAGTAACGTGGGCTCATACACAACCAAATTCATAAATATGGCTAGCAAAACTGTCTTTTCTTGGGAATTTTGTATACATTTTGAAGGTAAATATGTCGAATTGTGTCACTTAACATCTCACACAAGTTAATACAACTGATAAAATCTAAAAATATTGTGAAAAGTCGGTTAATTTGAGACTAAAATCGCGACAAATGTTGCACAACGTATCAAACATTCAAACATTGGTCAAATACTTCACTTTATTAATATTGTACACTATTAATTTAAATACCTTATACCTAAATTTGTCATTAGTATACAGCTGTTACACTTAGCGGTATTCGACGGAAAATAAATAAATTAATAACAAAATAAACTAAAACGTATTTACTCGAACTGATATCAACACAATGTCAATGAAATATAATAAACACTATTTGATTATATAAGTTTTGCATTTCCACAGTAGGATAGCACAAATTTCATCAGCTGTGTTGCATCGGTGTTGTGCTGTACAATGCTACAAGTTTTCTTCCTTCATATCACTACCCAGATCATCTTCTGAATCATCTTCAAGGCTACCGCTTTCGCTGGACTCGTGTGGACAATTTGTGCATCCAACACACTGGCACATTTCATTACACTGGTTGTTGGCCTTTTTACAGGAGCATCTTAGGGTTGAACAGCCGGTTTTACATTTGCAGTTGCAATCTTTGAGCAGTACATCAGGAGCACATTTCTTTGTCATCCACACCACATCAATATTTCCTTCTTCATCGATCTTCCATCCATGATCAGTTGGTAAAGGCGAGTCAATTGTTGGAGTTGTTGCTCTTTTCCATATTGCGGCCTGGTAATTTGCTCGCTGGATGTGTTGTACAAGACAATCCTCAATTGGAGGCAATGCTGCATCAGAGAATTTACCCATCCTAAACATGTCATATCTTGCTTTATTGACAGATGCGGTATCCTTAGCCCCATATAGCATGCATGTGAGTGACTCGAGGTTTTCCTAAATGGATTCATCAACGTCAAAGTCCTCACCAAGACGCACAAATGTGTTGAGAGCTGTTTCGTCATTTGAAACTAATTTCCAGGTTGATATCTTACTTCGACCATAAAATGAGCTCGTAGAATCACACCCTAGAAATGGTAAAGGAACTAAAATTGATCCAGTGATGCACAAGCTGTTGTGTTCTTACAAACTACATGTGGCTACTATACATCTACCTCACTTTTAGCTAAATCATTAACGAAACGGCACCCTAATTATTAATATAATGTAGCTAGTTATTGCTTACCAGTATATGCGTGAAATCCGATTAATGCTTTGCCTTCTTTCTCACCAATCTGCTGTTGAACACATCTGACGTCTATGATCCGAGTTTTCTCATTCGCAGCAGTCTCAAAAAATAGTTCGCATTGGAGAATATGGCAAAAATTAAGTATAATAATGAAGACGTCCGTATCCGGGCTCTTTATCACAATACTTCCATGTGACTGAGACACATGATTTGCATGAAGTAGCATTCTAGTGTCGGCTTCTTCGTGATCGCAAGATAATGTTGCTATTTCTCGAATAATATTAGGTGCATTGTCAAGTCCTGGTTTAAGGCTATGGCACTTAAGGCTATGGCAAACGTAGACCACAATACCACTAAACATCATCGATGTGTATGTACACCACTGTTCAAACAAAAACCGAATGAGTGCTTCTTTGTTTCGACCATGCTTAAGAAACTTGCCCCATTGTGCTGGTAGTTTTTGGTCAGCTCCATATATATTGATTACTGCTAATCCACCACTTGCCCGAATGTTCCGTTCGAGGTTTTTAATGCTCACATCAGGATATCTGTCTACCACAAAATCGACACGTGAAGATTTGTGATAAATTGCCAGCTTTATCACCCTTGAAAACAATTGCTCTGCAAATTCTCCAAACGATGGAAGTAGCTTCTTTGTAGCTTGAATGAGTGCCATTCCATCAAGAATGATTGCGTTTCCCTCCGGAACATTGTCGACTGTGTGATTCTGGACACTTGATTCGATTGACGTCATCAGTTTGCTTTTCTGGGTCTTGTGCAAGGTGCCCATCTCGGTTGAAAGAGATAAAGGAAATGGACCCAAAGAATAAGAGAGCAATTCCTTCATGTCCACATTTCTACATTGCGCCAGCAAGAGCATTCGAGCGAACAAGTTACGGTTATTCTTAATGGTGGCTTCCACACCTTTTGCTGAACTAACTTTAACTTTCTTAGCCATTGACGAAAAGGTTTTCAATTTCAGCTTAGGAATCGTTGAGAAGATATCAGGCTCTGAAACTAGCAACCTGTCTTTTAGAAAAGCAGTCACGCATTCTTCTCCTCGTTGTTGTGTTCTTAGTAAGTCTGCCTTTACATCTGGTGTAGCTACTGTACTAGTCCACTTGACAAGTGAATCATATCTGTTAATTCTGTATCAGTTTCAAAAGGATTTACCATGTTCTGAAGCGTGTTTACTATACTCAATACATCTTTCTCATGGCGAGGTCTTTGTGCCATGTCTAATTCCATTCTTTTTCTATAAATTTTACGTTTAAATAATAACGAAATTGTTACTTATGTGCTCGGAGGTAGCAAGCAATTATTGTACGAAGTTATGCTATTGGTATGCCTGTAAATTTTGTGATTAAATAAAAATAGTCATGTACTTGTTAATAGTAAAAGTTATTTTGCATTATATACCTTTTAGTTGGATCAGTGCCGGCCATTTTCATACACTCTCCTGTGATAGCAGACCTATCAGATTGAGCAATAATCCATCGTTGCATAGCACCCCTGTTTAACGTTATTCCAACCATTCCTGAAATATTAAGAATATGTACTCTTTAGAGTGGGTACAGTTACCACTGGCAAACTGTAAATGAATTTATTCTTACCTCCTTTTGTTTTTGAATCTCTATTTAAGGTTTGTTCAATAGTCATATCGCATGCGACAGAGGAAAACCCATGATTCTGTTGGCGTTGTACTGTCCATTGATCGCGAAGATCTCTCAATAACGCTAAAAACGGGAGAAAAAGTGCAAACAAGTACCTATTCACATAATTAACTTAATAGCATGTAATGATTTCACACCACTCAGTGTACCAGCCTATTTTTCATTGCGATACTACAATTGTGAGTGCTAAACTAAGTATCAAATGAAAAATATGGTTGCGTTAACCGTGTATTATAATCCTGGATGTGTCTCTTATAGTCTTGTCATTTCAAGCCAATATGCCGTTCCATAACGGCAATAATTCACTCGATCACATCCAAAGTACCATGTAAGCATTGAACGCATTGTTGATAGATGAAGATCCCAATTTCCTTCTTGTGTAGCTCTAAAGGAGTCAAAACATTTTATTTCCCTGATGCAACTTATGAGCAAAAAAGCTGCTTGAGGACTAAAAATATTTTAGCTGCAAACCTTCGCAATTCAATTAACAAGCTCACCGTACAAATTGAAGAAGAATACCGATCATTTCCAGGTAGGTACTCCACAATGAAAACGTTGGGTTACATTCACTTTCCTGAACCACAAAGTCCTCATACTTATCAAGAATTTCCGAGAATGGTTCCGCAGTAAGTTTCTCCTGAAAATCCTCGCTTGGAAAATTATTCAGCAGGTCAGACACGACTGAGTAGATATTAGCGGACTCTTCATCACTAACACTATCTAAGAATGCTTGGAATCGAAGTCTGTGCAGGGCTTCGCTCATTACTTTGTGGCAATGCATACTTCTATTATAATGCTTTCCAGTCATTACACCTTTAATTTGCCCTTGTCCAACAACATCGGATTCAATAAGTATGTCCTAAAACAATGCAAGTTCACTATTACAAAAATACAGCTACCTTAATACTGTAAAGTTATATTTCTCACAAATGTATAAAAGAGAACATATACCTGTAACCCAGCATCTCTAAACATGTTTCCTATGGCACTCAGGAACGACATGGTGGCATGGAATTCCCCAAGTCTGACAACGAACCTCTTCATAAAAATCTCATCTTTCCATCTAATTTAAGATATAAAAGGAAACAAACAATGTCAAACATTGAAGCGAGATGTATTGCATTAATGCTGCCAGTAAATAGGAATTCGAGAAACTTGGTAAAACTGTCATTCACCATAGACTTTAATCTTTACCTAATCTGCTGAATCTTTGCGTAGATTGCTTCATCAAAAACCAGAACGATGTGCTCTAGAGACAGCTTATCAGCAATATTGATGCTCTTTAAAAGAGCAGTGTACAGTGTTGAGTAGTCACTGGGGGATCCATCAATTATTGGCAAGTATCTGATTCGAGACAGTGGTGGTATTGCAGATTGCCTTAAAAGAATGTTGAAACCTGTCCAACCCGGAAGTACAGTACCGACGTGATTTTGGCGCATTTTCATCAGAAAGTAGGCAAAATCCAACCTCTTAGCAAGATCTTGATGAAATGAGACGTTGATTTCATAAAAAGTTGATGAAAGTGATGTACCTAAAAAATTTGGTGTCTGCTTTTTGCCAAGGCTGTACGGAATTATACTTTCACTTGGAGCCTGAAGAGTTCTCCCACCCTTCTTTAGCTGCTGTGTAACCACTACTGTTCCATTGCCGGATAAATCCTCTCGTTGAATTAATATACCTCCGAGTATATGGGTTTGATTTCTAGAATCTTCTGTGAAGTCATCGTTATCATACACCAGACAAGTAAATTTTTGTTTTTCTGTATCTTTTGGAATACAGCAGTCTGATTTTATAGCTAACTTAGCCAAGTCTGTTTCGTAGGTTAAGATGGCAGAATGACTTGCACAGTGGCCAAAACCATTCAAAATGTGCGTGAGTTGTGATGACCGTGTGAGCTGCCTTACAGCCATACCCAGTGCTAGCGACTTCGGTGTTTGTTTTCTCCCGTTTGACGCTATGTACAACATGTCTTGGCAGATAGATAGGACTTTCGTCATGTGGGAATCTTCTAGTTTCAGATGAGATGACATTTCTGGGTAATCTGAGAAGCCCAATATCCAAGCAATAAAATTAAACAGCACAATTGGGACCATCTTCAGCACTTGGGTCGTGGAGAGATCGACAGATGACGGTGGCCAAGATGAATCCATAGCTCAAGGTGACTTCCTTTTTATCAATTGGAGTTTCACTAATCATTTCCTCGTCGCTGTCACTCTCTTCTGAGTCTGCTCGTTCAGTATCTGCTGTTCCACCGGTTTCTGCTACTTCACCTACTGATAGCTCTTCAACAAAGACAAGTTCGCTTCGATTTCTGACTATAGGACTGTGAAAGACAAGTTGTGGATAGTCTCTTTGTAATCTTGCCTTAAGACGAGTAGGACGGTAATTGGATGCATCAAGCCTTTCAGTCTTCATAACTTGTTCCCCAAAGATCTCATGTAATACCCTCATTCTCATTATTTGTTTTTTCTTAAGCAGCTTTTCGTCAATTGTTTTCGAACAGAAGGCAGTGTAGCTTGATTGGTATAGTTCATCATTTGGCTTACCAACTGTCAATTTTCGGGTTAAGAATCTGCAGTAATCCAAATGGCAATGCCCGTGGTAACGTACTTCTATGACAACACAGTCTTTACCTCTAATTTGTGCTAAAATTGACTCATCCTTTTTCTTTTCTGCAGCCTCCCTTAAAAGACCTCCGTCAAAGGTTTCCGCCAGAACCAGTTTATCTATTTTTCTTTTTCTAGTAGCCTACAAAATAATTGTAACTAATTAATTAGTGGTTTGAAAGGATAGCATAATAATAATAGTAAGGTTATTTTTACAGTACCTTGTCCACCTTGTACGTTTCCTGTCTCTTACAAATTATGCATTGTTCTGGTAGGACGTGCCTGTTTCTTCTGGTAATTCCCTCACTACCGCTAATCAATGTTCGTGGTGATATACGTACTTGTACAGGTTCACCTTTTGTGGATGCATCGAAAGTCATTGCCTTTTTCTTGATTATCCTTTTCTCGGCTCTTTCGATTTTTGTTTTATCACAAAAACGAATATAGCACTTATTGTGAGATCGCAAGTTGGTAATTTCCGTAGCAATTTCATCTCGCACTAGCTCCGTTTCCGAATGGAATGACCAACGTTTTATAAGTTCGGCAATATTTGCTGCGATCGTGCTTTGTTCGCCATCCAAATCAATCCACTTTTTGCAATATTCACTAATTTTAGCAATTGTATGAGATGTTAATTTACACAAATCGCCAGATTTACCTTCAAAATGAATAAAATATTGCCGTTTGGTGAATGGTGTTTTCGTCATAGGGGGTAAAACCACTGATATGTCTGTGTGTAAAACCGTGTCCAGCAGTGTTACAAGGATGACTTGATAAGAATATATAATCAAGATTTCTCATTCACTGTGTACGAGTTGTGAACTAGAGTGGTGAGGAAATGTAAAGGAAGTACATCACCAGGCCATTGAGAAATAAGCAACCTACAAATTATGTGTATTTAATCGTATTGGTATCTTCGAGTGATTGTACAAATTCTTATTATAATTTATCTAATACAAAGTTTTGAACAGTTATTCATGTCAGTGGCAAAATAATCCGCTACAAATTGTAGACTGTAGTCTAATATAAAATATAAGTGACCAATGTTTGACACGCTACGAAACCCGGCGTACTTAATCGATGAAATCAATAATCGATGAGTATCGATATCAATCAATACCAATCGATATTTATCAATCGATTGATATTGGAAATCGATGAAAAATCGATGGCTTCTTTTGCTGTGACTTTCATCGATTGATCATCGATTTATTATTAATTTTCATTGATGAAAAAATCCTCCGTTAATATGCATGCAATCAAACAGGTAACGCCGTAATTTAATTAATACGTACTTTAATGTCGTAACAAACTCAAATTGAACGGAATTCAGTAACAATGGATTAAATTAAGTTTTTCATCTATAGCTATAATACAGATCAAATACATGTGTACATTCGAAAAATGAGAACAGATTTACTATTTAGCTCAAGGATATAAATCGATCAAAATCGAAAGTATTTTGTCGATAAAAATCAATAAATATTGATGAAAATCGATGAATATCGATAATAATCGATAAAATTGGCTATAACTTATTGTGACTATCGATTGGTCATCGATTGATCAATGTCAATCGATATCAATTAAGTAATTAACATCGATTACCATCGATTGATCGATTGGATTTCCGATGATCGGTTTTTATCGATTAAGTACGCCGGGTACGAAACAGTTGTCGCGAGTTGAGTCTCTTTTTCATCCAAATCGTTGAAATCAACCCAATTTTCATAATATTTTAAGATTTTAGAAGTTGTATTAATTTGTATGATGTGTTAAATGACACAATTCGCCAAATTTACCTTCAAAATGTATAAAACATTGCCGCGCAGAAAGCGTTATGCTAGGTACTTCATCCATATTTATGAATTTGAGTTGTTTATCAGCCCACATTACTTTCAATACTTCAAGTAATAATGTTGAAAGATCAAACATACCGCGGAATTCAAGATGGCGGTTAGCGGATGAAAATCAGCGCTTCCACTTTGAAGGAAATTTCCTTTTGAAAGGAAATTTTTGCAACATGAAGGAAATTTGAAGGAAATAAATTTTGAGGGAAATGTGAAGGAAATTCTAGAAGAACGAAGGAAATTTGAAGGAAAAAGCAAAATTTCACCAAAATTGATAATATTTAATATATTTTGAAAATAAAGCGTAAAATAAGCCTCAATCTGGGCACAATTTAACAGAGAATAGAAATTGAGAATTTATATTTCATTATTCAATTTTGTCTCCCTGAATAACGTCACTCTGTTTATAGTTTTTAGTTATCTCCAGGGGCGTTGGAAACTTTTTTAATTGGGGGGGGGGCTTCAATGTCTTTGGGCCCTCCACTTTTTAACAACAGTCAGTAATAAACAAAGTTAAATGATATTATTTCAGTTACGCGTGTAGATAAAATAACTTGAGGTATTTTATGACATTTTGTTCCATTTAGAACTCTGTAAATCTCCTTCTAAAGTGCAGGAAATGACATTTCAGAGACTCTAGTTTAAAATGCCCCCGGATCCCCCAGAATGTCACCTGCCATCACCCCCTTCGGCGGGCACTAAATGTGCCCCTCCACACTTTACAGCCGCTCCGACACCCCTGGTTATCTCACTTATCTGTACGGAAATAAAGTCATATAATTGTATCAGACTTTAAAGCAATGATAAAATTGAACATCCAGATGATTGTTCAACCTCGTACCCAAGATCTTTCCGGAAAAGGCTATTTAGCCTATTTTGAGGTTGATTTTGGAGAATATTCAACGTAATTTTATTTAATTTTATGAAGGAAATTTGAAGGAAATTTCACAAATTTTTGAAGGAAATTTCGGTCAAAATAAGGAGAAAAAAAGGATTTTTTGGTTTTTCAAAGTGGAAGCACTGATTACTGTACATTAAAAGTACATATCCGGTTGGCAAAATGGCGATTGTCTGACAGACCGTCGCGAAGGGCTTAATATTTTTGCTAATAAACTGTTCACGAGGGTTTCGTTCTGTTCGTCTTCTGGTTCGTCGTCAATCGTCATCGGCTGCCTCACTTTCTTGGTCGCTTTCGTCCTCTTCAAAGCAAGTCGCCGGGGCAATCAGCGTTACTATTTGCTGTCTTTCGAAGACCTTCCAAGAGCTTCAACATTTGCCAACGTTGTTGCTTCACAAACTGGGCAATCGCTGATGTTGGGCAGGATGCATTCGATGTGGAACGTAGGTCCACAACCACGGAAAACGTTCCAAGTGGATTAACCTTTTCGCAGGCAGGCAAATCGCAGGTAAGACTTATATTTTATATTTACAGATCTTGATACATTTATAGTCAGCGTCCTTGGAGATTGTTCCAAAATATGAGTGTGTGCCAAAGTTAAAATATTACTCATAATCTCCAGAACATGTTTGGACAATGTTTTGAATCACTGCAGTTTAGAATTAGCAGTCGTTTTAAAGACAACAGAACTGGCAGCCATCATGGCACCCCATAACTATTCAGAACTGACAGAACTGGCACCCCATATCTATTCAGTGTACAATACCAGACAATGTAAATTACCACCTCCCCCAACCCAGAAGTAGGCAGTTTTTATTTCCCAGCACCGCATAATCAAAATTTCTGGATTGTATAAATGTCTGGCTTTGTCTCAGTGGCCCTGCTTTGCCCCATGATGAACCCCACACTTCCTAGATTCAAGCAAGCGGGGACTTATATTGACTGGTACTTAGGTCCTGTTTATATGGAAGCCGGGCTGGCCCGCTAAGTGAGACAGCCCGGTAAGCTAGATCTCGCTGTGTAGTTATTTTTATAGTAAAAATTATTGTGCGTTTATATGGACAAGTGGGCTGGCCAGGTTGCCGAGATCTCACTTGAAAAGAGGTGAGATCTCACTTGAAAAGAGGTGAGATCTCACTTGAAAAGAGGTGAGATCTCACTTGAAAAGAGGTGAGATCTCGCTTACCGGGGTGGAAATTTCTCCATATAAACACTCACAAGCGGGCTAGCCCAGTTGCTGGGATGAAAGATACCGCCACAAGCTATTTTTAACAACTGTCAAAACCAGCAAGCTCGGGATGAAATTTTCTCATATAAAAACAAGAGAAATTCATCCCACCTGCCTGTCTCGCTAAGCAGGCCAGCCCGGCTTCCTGCATATAAACAGGCCCTTAGTTGAATTGCAGCACTTGGTCTGCCTGTGTGTTACTTTTAAGTGTACCCTGGTTCTTTGCAAGGTAAAAGAAACAAGAGGTGAGAATGGAAAGCCTCTGATCATATCAATTGCAAATCCCACTTCCAAACTTGAATAGGTTCAGAATTTGAATCTCGCATGTGATTGGCCATTTGTAAAAATATGTCAAACCTGTTTGGCAAATAAACACTACTGTGAGCTAATTATATCCATCTATCTATTTAGCTTTGCCAACTAGGGCCGGGTCACCACAACAGCATATATTATTATGCCAATTACTGTGAGCCCTTTTTACCCAACCCACCCTGTCAACTTTCCATGTGGGAGGAAACTGGAGTACCCGGGGAAAACCTGTGACGTTCGGCAGAGCGTTGCGGTTTATCCTTTTCACATGAGGACTGGGTTTGAGTCGCATTGAGAAAGTTCTCACTGACTTGAACCTGCGGCCTCAGAGGTGACATGCAAGTGCGCTAACCACTTGGCCACCGAAGCCCCAATTAAAAAGCCCCAAGCTGTTGTAGTAAACTCAACCAAGCATGAATATTAATACTCCCGCAGGTGAAAAGGTATTAAATTTCTCAGGAGATAAACATATCAACATTAATCAGTTTTGGAGGACATGTAATACATTCTTTGTTGAGTTTAACAGAATATTTTAATACAGGCTATAATTAGCTTACAGCAATGTTTATTTCCCAAGCCAGTTTGGCATATTTTACAAATGGGCAATCACATGCGAAATTCAAATGCTGAACCTAATCAAGTGTGGAAGTGGGATTCGCAATGGACAGTGACCCTGGGCTGCACACAGCACAGGGGAGGGGGCGGCAGGAGGGGGAACCTGCCCTCCTAAAGAAAACTATATTTACAATTTTTAGAATGTCATTATTAATTATTCTTTGGATATTTGGAACTTTTTTCAACATATAAGCCTTACTGCCCCCTGATGATACGGCCCTGATGTGACCAGAGGCTCTCCTTTCTCGCATCTTGTTTCTTTCGCCTCGCAAAGAGCCTCTGGAACCAGAGTACACTTAAAGTAACACACACACACAGAGCAAATAATATAATGCTTTTAAGGCAGTGAATTGGTAGGGAAATCTTTCAATAATATCCCGTGATTATGGTAAACTATGTACCAATACCAGACAATATAAATCCCTGCCTGCTCAAATCCCAAAGTGTGGGGCAAAGCAGGGTCACTGAGACAAAACCAGATATTTACACACAGATATTTACAGATAGTGACAGTGCTGAGAAGTAAAAACTGCCTACTTCTGGGTTGGGAGAGGTAGTAATTAATTACATTGACTAGTATTGTACACTAAATAGTTATGGGGTGCCATGGCTGCCAGTTCTGTTGTCTTTAAAAGAGTTAAAGGACTGCTAATTCTAAACTACATTGATTCAAACATGTTCTAGAGATTATGAATAATATTTTAACTTTGGTACACACTCATATTTTGGAACAATTCTCAAGGACGTACTGACTATAAATGTATCAAGATCTGTAAATATAAAATATAAATCTTCCTTTAAAATTTCCATCGATTTGCGATTTGTCTGCCTGCAAAAAGGTTAATCCACTTGGGACGTTTTCCGTGGTTGTGGAACTTCGTTCCACATCAAATGCATCCTGCCCAACATCAGCGATAGCCCAGTTTGTAAAGCAACGTTGAAGCTCTTGGAAAGACAGCAAATACTAACGCTG